AGCCGATTGTTGTGCCTTAGGGAGCTTTGGACGAGGTTCACCAGTTGCTCTTCACTCAAATAACGATCGTTTTGATACTCATGCGATATATAAAACCAATATTTGTTTTTGATATCTTTACAATGTCAGCAAACTCATGCAACTTCACTTTTCGAGCATTCAAAACGATTTTGTGGATTTTTTTAAAGTTTTCTAGTGTTACTGCCTCATTTTCAAGTCAACAAACCAACGTTCAATTGTTGTTTCCGATGGAGCGGATTCCTTATAAGACTTTTCAAGCCATTGCTTTGCTTGAACGGTATTTTCCCCATTGAGAAGCAGTGTAAAATCAAAACACCAAATTGTTTTTGATCCATTGTTTTGAAAATAACAAAAGTAGAGCTACTCTTAGCACAAAAACTCAGTAGAATATCATAAAATTTCAACAGCTCTCTTGTAAAGGCTAGTACTGACTGAAAAAGCGGTGAATGCAACAAGCCTAGCGCCATCTATGTGTACGTCCTAAAACTTTTCAGCCCACGTAGTACTTACTTTTGGATGCTTTCATTTTATTCCACGATTACCTCCAAATTTGTTAACCTTTTCAAAAATGAAGCTGATAATAAAATAGGCTCCAGGAATTTATTAACAATAAATGAAATTTATTCAAAATTGAAAGATACATAATCACCCTTCACGTTAATTATAAGTGTGTATAAACCTTGCACTTCTTGCAACAAAATATATATTGAAGAGACGAAATATAAAATCAAGATTGTAGGCTTTTGCAACATTTATGTGCTCTCTCAGACCATATTATAACTATTGATCATAACATGAACTATGAAGAGACCTAAATTGTCCATTTAGGAATTCTACAAAACGACTGGGTTCATGATAATAATTGAGCAATTTTCTCAAATAATTTTTTTTATTTAATTTTTTCTACACGCCTTTCGCTTACATCATAACTTCATTTAACAACCGATGAAGGTACGGTGTTAGCGAAAGGCGTGTAGAATAACTAAATATTTGTGACAATTGCTTAATTATTATTATGAATAACGCTATTAGCGACTCTTGTTAAATATATACTTTCAAAATATTTTTGTAGCCTTGAAAAAACATGAAGATTGTTGGCAGCTGTGAACATATGTTTAAGACTAGTGTACCAACATAAAAAAATTGAAAAATCGCTAATCGAATGTACGTAGCCCGGGAAATTTGAACATTTACTTCATTTTTTGAACAGCCCACAATGTCATAATTCAGAATAGATTTGAAAATACACCAAATGAATTATTGCGAAATTACATTGAAATTTTTCAAGTAAAATATGTGAAAATAACATTCGAAATATGGCATGTTTGTTGTACAACTAAAACCACACGGTAAAATATGCACTTTTTGGTATGCCCTCAAGGTCTCTCAATGAATCGGTTTGATTCTTCCCAATCATCGGAAAACGTCGTTCTTTCTCGGTTCTCTTCAATGTTGGGAACAGGGAAAAGTAGCAGGGGGCCAAATCTGGTATATACGGTGGCTCAGGCATGATAACGGTGTTGCTTTTGGCCAAAAAATTACGAGTGAGCAGGTGCAGTATCGTGATGCAGCAGAAATTGGTTTTTTTACAATAACAAATATTTTCATCGTATTGCTTCTCGCAAGTGGAGCGTAACTCAAGATAATACTCCTTATTGATCATACGACCATGTGACAAGAACTCCTGATGCACTACGCCACGGCATTCGAAGAAAACAGTGAGTAAAACCTTGACATATTACTGAACTCGGCATGCTCTCTCTCTCCTGGAATCTTCCATTGAGACGAACGGATTTTGGTTTCGATGTAACAACCATATGCCTATGAATCGTTACCAGTTAGGACCCTTTTAATCAAATCTGGATCGCCGTTGACGTCATTCAACAATTCCTAACCGATGCTCGTGCCACGAACATTCACCTTATTTTTTGAACAGTCCACGTTGAGACGCATTTTAGAGTAAGGATTTGGTGTACTTCATTTCCTGAAGACTTCGATTTGGTTTGTGAAAGGCGTTTTGAGAAGAGTACTGCATTTATAGTGTTGGGAACAGTGTTCGTTTCGGATTTGGTCTACGCCAGAGGTTCCAGTTATACCTTTCTTCTGTTAAAACTGTATCGCATAGCATAGCAAGCATGAATATATTTCTACATAAAAAATCTTCATCAGAAATTAGAGAAATGAATATGAGAATATCTAAAGAACACTGCATATTGATAAACATACTTCAGCTTGGCTAAACTTGCATCAAAATTGAAATGGGAATTTGAAGTCGTTCAATATATATGTTTTGAAAGTTATTGCCAACTTCTAGGAATGAGGTGAGATACTAATAATTTAAAAGAATAGATCGTTATCGATTGTTTCTTGTTTCTCACTATTACTAGGTTAGGTTAGGTTAGGTCCAAAGTGAGTGGGTCTATTCGACCCTCCACTGCAACCCGCAAGGGTTTATTGTGGCTCACACCTATTCATACTCGACCAAATAAACCCAGCTTCTTAACGAAGCCGATTAGTTTGTACGGTGAGTGGTCTTTCAGGTCAGATGGTAAGAGTACGGCTCTGCCGAACTATAAAAACTTGATTCGGTACCCAGCGGGGCAGGCACAAAGTATATGCTCTACTGTTTCATCATTTTTCCAAACAGAGGCGACACATACTGTCTTCCGTCAGTCCGAATCTCTGCATCTGATTATTCAAATGACAGTGTCCTGTAAGAAAGCCTGTTAGACATCGTAGTTCATCCCTACTGTAGTCCAACAACTGTTTGGTATCAAGCTTCGAAAGGTGAATAAACGCCTTGGAGTGAGCCAATCCTAGCCAGAAGTCCATAAATCTTCTTGCCATCCAGGTGTTCAATGTTTGTTTGGCAAAGCCTAAACAATGCCAATGACAGGGTCTGGTCCGATGAAGCTGCTTGCAGTACCCTCCTTTGCAAGGGACTCAGCAGCCTCACTGCCTTCCAGGCCAGGAATCCAGACCAGAGACAATCTGTTGAGTCTTTCTATCGAGGAGAGTCGTTTTTGGCAATTTGCTACCAATTTAGACGTTGCTCGGTAGGAGGCAAAAACTTCCAACGCCGCTTGACTGGTCGAGAATATTTTTACTGACTTGTGTATGACGTTGGATTCTTGCAATCTCTCTGCACACAATTCAATAGCGTGAATTTCCGTTTGAAATACAGTCGCATAGGTTCCTAGGCAAGTAGATATCTCTGTCCTGGGCCTGCGACTAAAAACACCTGCACCAGAACCGGAAGGTGTTTTTGATCCATCTATGAAACAACAACTATCTGCTCTTAATAGTTTCTTCTCTCGGAGGATCAAGTTCCCTATACTCGAGAACAGTACCTTATAAGGCAGTTCGTAGTTGACAGTTGGAGGCATAAAGTCATAGGTCATTTCCAGAATGCTGCAACTTCCAGTGTCAACCAATAGTCTGTTGCACTCTGCATTAAATTGATTTGTGCAAATAGCAATGTACACAAAAGTCTGTATGCAGTCCATCTAGCCTCTCTGTCCAGAGAAATTTGGAGAGGAGGTCGATCTAGAATCTAGAAGGATCTCCATGGCTGCTGACAGTGTGGTACCGATGGCACCACTGATATTACTATTACCAGGTCGGTTAATATATAGGAAAAAGTTGCCTATTTTAGAGCTCATTCAAACGACGTTCCAAAATTTAGAAGATATTGATCATTTTCAGAGTTTATCGAAAAGAACTGAAATTCACCATCAAGTCATTGAATAAAATATTAAAAAACGAAAACATCTTTTCATTGCAACTTTTCTAACTTCACAAGATAGAATTTACAGATTTTTAAGTTAGCTTTTTATAAATTACCATTCTCTTCGTCAATTTTACTGATCTATCACACATAATCGGAATGTCTTAAATTTTAAATACGGTCTGTAATGAGCAACTTTTTCCTAGCTTGATCAACTTTGTATACTTATGGTTTCCAATTTCACCTCTCAATTTTGGATACATTTCATATCAGCAAATTTATTAATCCAAACTAAAACTCTTTGCTGCACTTTTGTCTAGTATACAATTAATTTTGACCATTATACTGTCAATTCATTTATGTCCTAACGGACAGGAATAAATTGACTGTATACCTACTAGATGACAAGCATGCTGTCCACAAAGCAAATGAATTATTAATAGGTTTCAACTTATGAAGATTGGTAGATGATATCATTACAATACCGTGTTAAAATGATTTCTATTTCAACGTTTCTTGAACATCTTTGACGGTCTTTCTGCGAGATTTTAAATTATGTTTCATTTCGCCAAAATGGCATCTATAAGACTGAAATTAGGCAAGAAGAAAAGAAAATTTGTTGAAAAAAATTGTTTTTGTATGAGATTTTGCGAATTTTCTCAAATAACAATCAAAATTTATCGTTGGAATTGTCCTCCTGACTGCATCCCAAGGGAGATTATATCCGGTGAATTTTTCATGAAATATCGTATATTCCTAATCAACAACAATTGTAATCAATAGTCAATGTATCTTATTTCATTTGAGTTGAATGCGATTTAGTGGCTATAAGATTGGTAACTCTACATAAAATATAAAAACTCATGACAGTTAATGAGTTGTCAAGTCAGTGCAAAATATCTCATCAGGTTATATTGCGCTTTGAGATCTGGAAATCACACATGCTTAGCTATTGATTCATTAATTGGGCGAATTAGTATTTCAAAAAGAGCAAATTACTGAAAAAGAACCCTTGAAAACTTGTTATTGGCAACCTATTCCAAGAAATTATAACAAGCGATTTCAAATATTATGAATTTTTCATTTTATTGTGGGATTTTCATATGGTATGAAAAATAAAATTACGTACAAATGAGATTTTTTGAGATTTATAACTACATTTCAAGAATAAAATCTAAAAGGATTTAACTTGTGCTCAACATCATAATAATCCAGATTCCATTTATACAATAGGTAAGCTATAATTATTTTATCACAGATAGTTTGGGCAAGAATATCTAGGACTGGCATCACAATTCCTTTCCATAACTTACCCAAGAAGATTAAATTTTTATTTATTTACAATAAGAGAAAATGGAAAAAATTATGTACATTAAATGCCATGCCATGGCACTGGGTTATTGTCATAATTTAGACAGTGTAATGCTAAAAATGGTCCCTTATATTAATTAAGTAGCACAATATGATAATTTCACACAGCCTTGCCTCCAAATTGAAAGTACAAAAGGCCGTTGAATTGTACTTTGAATTTTGTACAAACATTACTTAATTTCCTTTACTCAAACAATAGATCCATCCTTATTTTTCTGGAGGGGTTGCAACTCCCTTTGTAATCTGTCGAAGTCGTTGTAATACTCATGATCCGACTCTTCCTCAGAACTTTTTTGAGGAAGATAACTCGGGGTAGGCTGGAAACCAAATTGCTCCACAGGAGTTTTTGAACAGACATTCACAAATTCTGAAACAGTCGGAAGACCTATTGTTTGACTTGGAGTATCGTTATTCATAAGGTATTCGGGATTATCTATGTTATTTTTATAAAAATCTTCATAGGATTTCAAGACACTGGAGCTGGCACCCTCTGATTTTCTAGAATCTATCAGATCAACATAAGTTGAATTTCCTTGAGTTTGCTGTGGAGAAGGCATCAAGTAGTCATCTTCGTCGACAGGCAGTTCAAGTTTTAGGGTACCCACTTGTGCTTGTGATCTAGCTGAATCGTATTCGTCAGACCCTATATCGTTTTTCATTTTTATTGAATCGCCACAATATCTGATGCTGGAGTCATCAGATTGTGTTGAATGGGTTTGATCAAGTGAATGTGACTGTACATATCTTAAAATTTTTTGATTCAAGTTGTTTTGATACTGTGAGGTACTGCCGTCTGAAGCCATAGGATGTGCTGATTGCCAATACCCGTTGGCAGTTGGTGTAGGAGAAGCAGAAGACATAGACAGCCGTCCAGTATGTAGAGAATTTCTTGGTTGATTTCGATGGTGTTCATCACTTTCTGATATACAGTCCGACGACTCCAAAGCTGAAGTGAGATTTCTGATTGTTTCCCTATCGTCCTGAAAAAATTTCAGAGTTATTGAGGATTTTAATCAAAATGGCGTGACGAAAAATTATTGCACATAATTATTGGAAAAATAATAAACTTGATGTGACTCGTAACTCCAGATTCCTTATCAGATTAGAAATGTGATATGTTTAGAACATTGTATTTATAAAATTCACAAGTTACTCAAAATATTGGATTTGTAACCTGAAGACATAATTAACATAACATTGATTAATGGAAATGGGAAGTTATTACTGATACATTTTGAGTAATTCGTTTATTGAAACAATTCGAAAAGGAGTTGGTAACATTTACAGTTGATACAAGAAATGTCATAGACAAAGGTGTCTGGGTACTTGAAGGGGAAACGTTTGCATACGTAATAATATTAAAATCTCAAATACTTAAATGTGTTTCTGATAGTCACCATTAGAAAAAAAAATTAATTCAGAAAAATTTACATTCGATACGCTATCGTTGCTAGTGTTTCAAGTTAGGTATATTTCAAACAAACGCAAAACCGTTCAATGATAGAAACATTTTCATATATATTCAGGAAATGGACCTAAATCATTAAGAAAAATAATTTATTGAAGTCGAAATATCACCAATTTACAGAAATATTTAACCCCACTATTTACATTGAGTTCGCTATCTGATAAATTGGCCTTTCCCTCCATTCGAATAACTTGGAGTAAAGTTCAGTATAGTTTCTGAACGCACTTTTCTTTAGTGCTACTATCCTACCATTTCATTTCATTAAATTGATCTTATGACGAATTTACAATATATTTTTATAACAACATGCTTGCTGTTTGGAATATGTTTTATGATAGTATACTTGAAGGAGTCATAATTTTATGATATTATCGTTATGATTCAGCAACTATTTTACTTCATTTTGTTTCTATTCACTATTTCTTCAATTGAAGAATTATCTGTTGTTCATTGTGACAATAAGTGTATAAAGAAAGTTTATTGTTGAAAGTTAATGGCTTCACTTCAAAGATTAGTTAAAGCAGAAGTGTATGGAGTTGATTGTTTTGATTGTTGTAACATTGTTACTATTGGAAGATAATTAATGATTCAAGGAATTGATGTGTTTCGAAAATTTCAAATAGCATCTACTTATATGTATATATATTATAATGTTTACTCAAGCGCCAGTCTCCAAGGTGAATTCACTACCAGGAAATGTATGTGTGTTCTTTTCATTTGTTTGCACAGCATTTTTTTCAGAAATCTACACACGTTTTCAGGTACACAAGAACTTCATAGCGACAAGCATCGGAAGGTTCTGTGTTTACATCGATAATTATTATTACTTAGAAAAAAGTTCAATAGTCTACAAAACTTGAAGATTTCTATCACAATACCATTGTATAATTTATTGGAGTCATATAGATCTACCAAATTAAACATGTTTGATAATTTCTTATTGATATTCTAAAAGTGGGGGAATCTGCAGGAAGAAATAAAAGAAACTTATGAATTGATGTGATGAACGTTGGTCTCCAGAAAGAGACAATATAATAAATGAATTTATCTTTACATTACCCCATAATTATTCAACAATTGCTTGAAGTTTAGAGTGGCTTTCGATTTTTTTATATCAGTTGATAAGAGTAGATAATATGAATAAACAAATACCTACATTTTTTCTTGAGTTGGTTTTGCATATAGCATGATTTCAATACACATTTATTCTCGCATTATTGAATGATTAAAATGAATCTATCAATCACGCTTTCTTTATAGGAATCTTTCAATATTATATTTGAGTATTAAATTCATAAATTGTTCATTACCTGGGGATAAGTGAAATTTGTCAGCCTCATGAATTTATCTCCAGGTATAGCCAAATACCTTCCAGGATCCTGGGCCATTTTGGAGAAATCGTCTTCCAGCTCCTTGAAGCACGGTCTGCTCTCAGCATCTAGCATCCAGCACTTGATCATTGTCATATAAACATCTATGCTCGCTATCTGTGGCTGTGGTAATCTCTCTCCCTTTTCTAATAATTCAGGTACATCTCTAGCAGGAACATTATCATAAGGACGTCCTCCAAAGGTTAGCAGTTCCCATACTGTGACACCAAATGCCCAGACGTCAGATTTGTGTGTGAATATTCGATGTTGAATGCATTCCAATGCCAACCACTTGATAGGCATTTTACCTCCAGCTGCTTTGTACTCATCTTCATTTATATCTAAAAGTTTAGCTAGTCCGAAGTCTGTTATTTTAACACATGCTGGAGTTTGCACCAAAACATTTCTAGCTGCCAAGTCTCTGTGCACAAGACGTTTTTCTTCTAAGTAAGCCATACCCCTAGCTATCTGTGTTGACCAATTCAATAACGATTTAGACCCAATTCTGTCTCTATTAGTTCTCACAAAGTCCAGTAAACATCCTAGTGGCATTAACTGGGTGACAAGCATCATTTGTGAAGACATGCATACAGCAAGAAGCTGAAGTAAATTGGGATGATCAACTGAAGCCATGATGTAGGCTTCATCTAAAAAGTCTTTGCTATTGTTGGCTCCTGTATTTTCTCTCAATACTTTAATAGCGACAGGGATTTTGGCAGACGTTTCCCCTTCAAGTACCCAGACACCTTTGTAGACTGTGCCAAATGCGCCATAACCAAGAATGGTTCCTCGGCGTATTTCTGTCTCCTTTATTATCCTTAATTTTGCTATGTTGGGCATTACATTGCTGGGGCGTAACGGCTCGTTATCTTCGAGACCAGTTAGAGCCATAGTCATTTTCATTGCATTCTCTTTGATTTTTTCCTTTCTCTGGTAGTAACATATGAAACCAATCGAAAGTATCAGAAGAAATATTCCACCGATTACTGCGCCAATTATGATAACAATGTCGTAAGGATTTTTTGGATAGACTGAATATGAGCTTGTAGCTACATCTGAGCAAAATGCCGATGCATGTCCATCATCCGGAAATACTTTATGTGGGAAATCTGCCGGACAGGAGGCAACACAAACAAAGGCGGTGTTATTATCGTCATTATTTCCATCAATGAAAATTTTAAAATTCTGGCACACCACACAGTTTTCAGGGCCCGGACCAGTACAGCCACGGCATTCATCGTCACAGGCAATACATTCGTTTGTGTTGACATCTGGGTAATAGTCTGGTGTACATTCATCTTCACATTGTTCTCCCTTCTTGTATTGCATGCATTTCTGGCAACTGGATTCATGGAATCCATATCCAGTGCATTCCTTACATCTGTAAAAATTAGAAAATTATAAAAAGTTAAATTCTTTCCGCGTATTGTTAACCCTGTCAGTTTCAATCCCTAGCGGGGGTGGGATAAATCTTTAGTAAAATGAGGAGTTGAATAATAATACTTCGTTTGAAAGGGTACAAATTTACCTTTCTAGTGATATCTTATTTGTTGTTTTTTACTTCTATCATCAATTCGAAAATGGCTTCCAGAGTCTCAGCCGTATAATTTCGTAACCATTGAAATAAATTCAGTTATTATGAGTTCAAATAAATACCATACCTAGTAAAATTGTATTATTCTACTGTGTATATACACTGTTAAGTTTTCTAATGATTATTTTTCTCAATTACGTTTCAATGTTGATAAGTGTAATAATATATATTTTCTCAAAAACGGTTCAATTCATTTGCGTAGACATTTATTGAAACTTGACGAGTTTTGAAAATGTTACCCATTTACTATTATATAATAATACCTACAGGTCTTATATCAAATTAAGCTCCGTAGAAAAACATTTCTTTACAAGTAACCCCGAAGGTGATAAATCAGGCGACCTAGCAGGCCATTCAATTGGGCCACAATTCCGCGGGAAACCGGTTATTTGAAAATTCCCCTACAGCGGCATTATAGTGCGGGGAATGAAACCGATCAACATTATGATTTTGATCAATTCGAATATTTCTGTTATCAAAAGGACAATCGCTCTTCCAGCAAATCTGTATGTTACTGTTATTTCAGTAACATAAATTTTATATATTCATAGCAACATCCAAATGAAATGTGCATTAATAAATTGAATGTTGTATAATAAGTGCGGGTCATTACTTAAACGCTTTGCGTTCTCCTTAAATTAATTCCGGAATTGTCGGACCAATGCTTTCAAAGCCTTTCACGAAATAACTGACGAAATTATATAAATCCAATACGAATGGTTTCATTGATAATGTTATTTTATGTCCTTTCAATCGATTTTGATCTTTTGAATCTTCTTTGCTCCTTGATATCAAAATTGATGTATCCAAGTGTTTTTTGTTCAATTTTACTAAAACCTTAAAAGCTATGTGGATACTTTCCGTTGGACCATTATGTATGTAACTTTTTAAATAACATTTATTTTGTTTTCTGTATCTGTATCTGTAGAGTAGGGAGGGTGAGTGTAAGCCCACAGCACTTAGGCCACATGTGACCCATTGTACATCCTCCCAAGGAGTTTTTCTTTTAGGTCATCGTCCATCCTGTCCTTTCTAGGAAGGTGGACAGGTCTCTGGGAGACATCCCCTTTATATCGGCAGGCGTAGGCCAAGACTCGCCGAACACGCACAGTCTCATCTTCCTGTTCACACATCCTGCATAGAGGTGTGTCGACTAGCCCCATGTTATGGAGGTGTTTCCTTAGTTGACAGTCAGAAATACTACTGTTAGGCGTAGATTTTTCCTGGTCATCGCCAGATATTTCTTCGGCGTCAGCTTTCCAGGGTCGCCCAAGGTGATCCTGGCAAGATTGCATCCTTTGATTCCATCCCATCTCTTTAAAGATTGAGCATTGGTGTAACATTTGGCTAGTTCCGCAATTGTCATTGTCAAAAGTCATCAGGCCGTAGGTGCCACTGGGTCCTAAAATTCTTAGTCCAGCCGCTTCCTTGGCTAGAGTCAGCAATGCGATTACCTTTATTCCTGTCATGCCGTTTAACCCACCTCAGGATGATGTTGTTATCTACCGAGGCTTTGACTAAATCTTGGTGGCACTCTAGTACTAGTTCTGAGGTTATCCGTTGTTTGTTGAAGGCTAATAGGGCTTGTCTGCTGTCAGTGCAGATTGTTATGTTTTTGCCAGAAATTCCTTTCCTGGTTATTTCTCTTGTGGTGATTGAGATACCAGCTTGTGGTGATTAAGATACCAGCCAGTTCTGTTTGGACCACGCTGATTTATTTTGTTTTATAACATTATCTTAAGATTATCAATTACGTGGCCCACAATGAATGGTGAGATATTAAATGACTGACTTACCTCGGATGGCATTTTCTGCAAATTCCCTTTCCTGCTAACAATTTCAGGCTAGTTTCTTCTTGGATATGCTGACCTACATATTCATAATAGTAACCATCAGGACAGTTATCCTTCTTGTGTAAGCAAACGTAATTAGTATCGTCCATGATGGCCAATTCACAGGAGTTGCATCCACCTTCACCGAGAATTTCAGAAGGCCCAGTACAGCTATCTACGCAGTTGGCATGGCATTCTTTGCATACTCCGTTTTCTTCATATTTGTTTTGGGAGCATTTCGAAACACAAAAATTTCCATCCTGTAGATGTTTGCAGGACGTGCAATTGTTGGCACCAGGTCCATGACAAGAAGATCCACATTGTTCATGGCAAGGTTTGCATTCGTTATTTTCTGCACGATATATTCTGTGAAACGAAAATAAATTATTTGAATCAACAAATTATAGTAGAAAAAAAAATTCGAAGATATAAAAATAGTGGAAACAGTTTCAACTGAACTAGATAAGTGGTAGAAATCAACAATGTACAACTTGCAAATTTTCGAAGATTTTAACTCTAACTTCATTCACTAACTCAGGATTATTCCTTGTTCACTATGAATTTCTTGTATCTGACTTCCTGATTGGAAAATTTCTGTTCGAACAGGACTTACTACTGAAGGATCTATGATGCCTCACAACTTATTACAATGTAAATATTTCCTTGATTATATTGAGAACAGAATTGTTTTTGTCTTTCGAACTCAGTTCAGCTGCAGGTATGTCCACAGAACTTGAAGTTAAAACGAGTTTTGTATCACTCTGATTTTAATGGATTTTAATGGATTCTATAAAATAAATACCGTTTGTTTTGTTCTTTTAATTTCAAAAATTTCGTTGGGAAAGTATTTACAGTTCGATTTTTTTTTATATCACATAAGGTGATTTATCTTTCATCTATTGCAGGTTTTAAAATATCAAAATCTATATGTGAAAGAAAAAGAGTATTGGAAGATTCCCTCATCCTTGTTTTTTGTATCAAGATGGAGTAGTAGAAAGCCAAAAACTTTCTTTCCCAAAAAGTATTGCTATGTTTTCAGCAATTGATTTGCATGATCTACACATCCATGTATAGAGTTACTTATTTTCAAATTGATTACTTCCTTCCTTTCCTTGGAAGATTCCTACTTTTTTTTGTATCAAGACGGAGTAGTAAAGCCAAAAACTTCCTTTCCAAAAAAAGAAAAAAATTGTATTCACCCTAAACACCCTGAACAAATATAATGAGTTCGTAAGTATTTTATCGCAATGGAATATTATCATCTGTTCAACTCTGTCAAATATTTTAACTTGTACGTAATATTGAAAAATTTAAATTTCCTACTGATTTAATGAACGAATAAGAAAAATGCAGTCTGAAAAATATAAAAACACCAATAAAGAATTTCATACATGTGTGAAAAGGGCAAAGCCCTTTCTATTTCTGTGAATCTTTCAACTGTGAATTCATTATTTTGTTTATATGAGATGAATACTGAAAAATATTCCACAGGATAAGGAATCAAAGTGACTGCAGAGCCATCCTGGACGACTTGAATACACTTTCTGTGTTTGGTAATAATAATGCACTTTCCCTTAATCTTGAAAAATGCCTTCACATGAGCTTCACGAATAATAAAAATAAAATAAATTAACTATATGCAATCAAGCAAAAATCCATTCAGAAAGTTAGTGAGTTAAGAGATTTGGGAATCGTAATAAATGATAAACTTAATTTCAAAGCACATATAAATAAAATTGCAAACGAAACAAATTAAATGATGGGATTTCTTATAAGGAACGGCAAAGATTTTAAAAACCCTAAAACGGATTCAAAAAACATTTCACCAACCCAATAACTTCTTCAGTTGAACTGGTGAAAAAAGTAGTTACAATACAATGATTGACCAATAACGATTATTCATTCTAGGAAATTTAACAAGGGTGAGAGATAAGCTTCTTGTTAGTCGTTTAATAGAGAATTTGTTCAACTTAAGAAGCTGCTCTGTAGTGAAACGTATTTTGAATGAAGTTCAAAGTAAATTGTTCAATTATTTTCATGAATAGAAAGAAAAATTTAAAAATTTCCTCATACTATTATGAGGAAATATTTAAAGTCGGAAAGAAAGTGAAATACAGTTCGGATGGTCACTAGACATATGGAAAACCATAAACACTTGTAGCAATTACAATGCAATGATAAAATGTTACATAATTAAATCGTATTGTGTATTTTGTTTTTTCAACTCAATCAGGAGAGATATACATTGGAAAGTTTCCAATTAGGAAGTATGTTATAAAAGCACACTTCCGTTCTGCTGATCACCCAAAGATATTTTCCACGTTTCATTTTTAACTAGTCATCAAAGGCTTCCCTTCAAAATTTTAAATACATTATTCATACGCACATTCTCAATATGGTGAAGAAACGATGTCTATAATACACCCTACCCTGTTCATATTTATTCCAATCAAACATAGATTTTGTTGAAAAAAATGGAAAGAAAATATTTCCAGAATGGATTGAGACATCAAATTGATATTGGAATAAAAGTTAAACATAGATCAACGTAGCATTTGAAAATGTTGAACTTGCAGGGTGTGTCAAAGCAACTAGCAACTTCTAAATTTTCAGAATTGAACTTGGTACTGCGGTATGAACACTCTGGTGAATATTTCATTTTATTTCATTCTGTTTCACATGAGTTCTTGAAAATTTCCTAACAACAGTTTGATCCATGAGTTTAAAAAAATCTATACAAAATATCATTGTTAAAATGTGTACTCACCCGGATACTACGCTGCAGTTCTCTAAACATTTAGTACCAAGTCTAAAATGAGCACAGGATAAACACTGGTCTGGACCTGGTCCCCAACAGCCATCTTTACTACACTGCTCGTCACATACAAGACCTCTTGCTTTGCAACTGTTCAGGTCGCTGTTATTCGATAACATTAGATGATTGTCATGACTCTTTCGGATCAGATCCCAGTTGATACCTTCAGCTAGGCACAAGTGTTTATTCTCTAATATTGCCACCGTTCCCATATTGATTCTCTTCAAAGATCTTAGGTCCAAGCTTTCAAGAGATGTTTTAACAATATAAACAGACGTTGAATACTCGTACAAAGCTCTACCGCCGATGACCTCAAGATTGGAAAAATATGAAAGATTTTTGAAATCGGGGTGATATGCTTGTATATTCAGATACCCAGTTATTTCTTTCAGGGTACTAAAAACACTCAAGGCACTGGGATGCATTGCTGGATATCTATCACCAAAAGTGTAGTTAGGAAATACACTTTGGAATCCTTTGAAAGAGTTTTCCAGAATATCGATATTTCCTTCCAAAACTGTACAATTCTTGAAGTTTTGAATATTTCCAAAATGGATAGTACCATCACCGGAACAAGTTTTTGGACAGGGCCCTTCACATGGAACACACTCGCCGTCTACCGCATGTTTATTTGGCGGGCAAGTCCGTACACAAGCACCATTATCTTTGAGCAAATGTTCTGGGCACTTTTTAACGCAAGTTGCACCGTAAGCAAATTTACCATTTGGATTTGGTTCCCAGGAATAAGTTGTCGGGTTATACAGTTGCATTGGAGGGCATTCTTGGGTACAAACCCCGTCATCGTAGAAGTTTTGACATGCTATACAGTCACTTTGTTTAGGTCCTGTACATCCTCCAGCACAAAAAAGATGACAACATTCTCTAGGTTTGGGGCCGAAACAGCGACCCTGAAAACATTGCGGACTGCAAAATTCTTTTGAAAATTGTTGGCAATTCTCACGGCCATCACCCCAACATCCGTGTTCACAGTCTTTATGGCAAGGCGGACATTCACGTTCTGGGGACGCAAAATTATAGACGTACGAAAAATTACCCTTGGAGTCGGACATAATTTCCTTCCAGTTGATTGTTTTGACGTGGCAAAGGTTATAATTGTTGAATGATCCGACGTTTCCCTTTAGAACATCTCGAAGGGCAGGCAATTCCAGGTAATACATTTTGGAAAGCGTGACAATCAGAGCGAATTCCTCATCCCGCACATTCATCTTGAATAACGTTCTTCCACGAATTATTTGGAGGCTAGGAAGGACAACTCTTTTCACATCCACATGAGATATCAGAACATATCCGGTTACTTCTCTTATATATTGGAGAAAACTGAGATCCAAGTTATCTTCTTGAAGCCACGTCAATTCCAAGTTTCCATCGACGTAAGTACAGTTCGTGTAGCGTTCTTTTAGATTTCTATAGTGACGTTCTCGATTAGATGGGACAGACATACGACCATTGGTTCCAATACAAACTGAAACAAAAAATAATATCAGAAATATGTAAATAATCATTGATTATGGTTGAAAAAACAGTTGTTGCCCATATCAATTCACAGAACTTCATGGAAATGTAGCTTGACTTCTCTAAGTAATAATTTGCTGATGACTCAAAAATAAAGTTTGTCTGTTAAGCAAGTCAAAAAGCAGATCTCATACTTCCCTAATGTGGCACAGGATACTGAAATGTTCCTAATAACTATTGATATAATTTTACTGTCAAGCAAATATTTTCGTGATAAATAAATCTGAAACTTCTGAGTATATCCAATTTTTAATATAACATTGATTCAAAGGGTGTACCTATCATTGAAATGTATGATGTGAGTTTGAAATAAATCCTAAGATTAACATTGGTAAGATGTGATGTGTCTGATAGATCAATTTTACCTTGTACCTTGATAATACAGTTTTACGGCTCATCTTCATATAGACAATTGTCAAAATTAGGTATAAAATAATTTTCCAATATTTTCTAATTTTACTACATAGCTGTGTAAATGTTCAAACTGATGACCATCAGTACCCATCAACAGTCAAGATTATATTCAAAACATTTTCTGGACTCACTTTCCGAAGCGTTTTCGGCGTGAATCGACAGAACTTGTCCAATTCTTTGACGTAAATCTATATAGTGGATTTTTCAGGGATCCCCGTAAACAGAAGACAGCGGGAGACAAATCTGGTTACCGTGGAGGCCATTAAATGTTCTTCTCTCAATTGAGTGCGAAAAATATTGATCTGAATACTGACGAACAGTCAAGGCATAATGCGGTGATGCAACATCGACCAACCTCCAATATACTCAAAGGGTGTAAAGTTTCAAGACAGGAGTAACTGCGCCGAAGCTATATTCCGGCTATTCTCTGCAGGTTCTCACACCTGACTTTTCGTCTACTAGTGCGGTAAATATTCTCAAAAATATTTGGCAACAAACGAAAACCTCTGTCGCAAATACTAAAGTAGTAGTACTAGAAGCACTTCGTACTCGAGGTATCCTTTGATAATTATCTACCACCGTAGTGAGTAGATGAAATGTCAGGCATAAAAACCTGCAGACTATGGCCAACAAACCCGGAAAATAGCTTCGATACAGCATTATCATAATATGTAACTATATCAGCAGTTTCTAAAATATCTGTCGACAACCACTTCAGTTAAAAAAAATGCTACCGCAATGTACACAAGTGAAACATTTCATTTTCTCCTGTATTAGATTTTGACGTCGTGAATGTGATTAGCTCATTGAAAAACACCAATTCTGACGGAATAGATTGCATCTCAACGAAGGTCATTAAAAAAATTGCTCAATATATCGCCAAACCATCAGCACACATTATAAATTACTCCATACATTCCGGGGTTTTCCCCGATTTTTCCAAAATTGGAGTAGTAAGCCCTAATTTCAAGAAAGGCGACCTCTCTATTATGTGTAATTTTCGACACAATTCTCACCATTATCGGAAAGGTATTTGAAAGGTGTGATTAAGATAAAATGTACTCATTTTTATTCAAATTCCGAATACTGTCAAAATATCAGCATGGTTTCTGTCAAGGTAAGTCGACAGAAAGTGCTTCGTACAATTTTTTCAAATATATATACGACTCGCTAGATATAATGAAATATGTGGGAGCACTTTTCTTCGACTTTTCGAAGGCATTCGACATTACTGACCTGGAGATAATCGAAAGTAAATTATATTTCCTTGGTTTTCGTGGAAATTTCTTGTCATGGCTGATGTCATACATGTGCTTCAGGAAAATGTCAGGTAAAATCAGAGAGCATAAATTGGAATATTATGTGATGGACCTGGGAGTTCCTCAGGGATCGCCCTTGGAGCCGCTTATTTTTTTGTTATTCATAAACGATCTACCTGACTATATCAGTTCAGATTCAGTAGTTCTCTATGCAGATGATACTACAAAACTAAATAATTTAGCAGAAGAATTCATAAATTGGTGTGAAAACAGTCTGTATGCATTTCCATTCTATAGGTGGAGATCTGACTGATATTCAAGTGGTTGTCAAAAATAGTACCATCAAATATTTTCTTCATTTGAAAGATTGTTATTCTCGAAGCTATCAAAATTATTAACAATGACTCATATAATGACTTTTTAGATGATTTTGACATGAGGCATTGAAAATTCTGATATTCGTCGAATATCACCATACAACTGTATACCGACCAAGTTAATCTTATAACATATGTAGGACACCAAATGATGAAATTTAACGGAATATTACTTTCAAGTTACGATTACGTTGCATATTTTCTAGCAACTTGTCCAGTCAACAGAACTCAGAGAAATAGTATCCTTAACAACATTGATATTATTACCCACACCGTTCTGAGTAGGTATATCTAACTTGAATATACGTAGGCGAACAAGTTGTTACTCTGCACAGTCCGTGACGAAAGTCAAATATCTGATAAATTTCTCTTCGTAAATAGCCATAACAGTCCCTTCGTTTGTTTTGAGAGCTAATTTTGAATGTGTTTGAGTTTGGTGATCGCTCAACTTATTGAATATGACCATAAATTCATAAATGTTATTAGTTCTGTGAGGTTTATGTTGTTGTAAATCTTAAAAACTAATGCGTAGACGGAACAAGAATGCAAAACAAACAATAATATACGTAACACTTGGATGCTTTTGTTTTTGTATAGGAAATTAGATTTGGAATACAAATGAGGCATATGGATGGACCCCTCTCTTTTCAACTAATAAAATAAGTACTTTTCTGCAATGAACTTGAATCTCTTATATTTCATCAATCTCTCCCAATACACACATTATATAAACCCACCACAACGCCTACTGAAATCTGAATGCTTCGTAAACCATGATCATTTATTCTTTTTTGAAAATATTGCAATAACTCATATACACGCCATCAAGTGGATTTTTATTCAATATAGTTGTTGTTTAGTGGGTAGTGATAATTGCTTGCATTTTGCAACAGCAATTTAAAAGATATGAAGGTATTCATCTAATTGTCTAACAATGCCTGAAATGAAAAATTCAATGGCAGTTACATATCTCTTAAACTTATTCATGTCAAACAGGATGAGTAACCACATTATTATCAAAAATAACTTTTTGACATTGTTAGGAGGACCTTCTAATCACTCATTTGAACTCTCAAGTAGCACATATTATTCTGGATGTGGAAACAATTCCAAATGCCCAATTGTTTAATTGGGATTGTATGACGTTCTGACAAAGAATATGTAATTTATAGCTGCCATAATGAAAGAATAATAATAATATTTCTCCCTAGAGAGAAGACACTGAGAAAAAGCTGACGCTGTACCGGGGGTTGTTTTATTCTGGGGGTGGAAGCCGTATCCCTTTTTTATTATTGGAAATAATCAACAGTATTTTTACGCCAATTGAAATGCAAGAGACAAAAAACAAGGAATACATTTTTGCTTTGTTGGCTTGAGTTGGTCTGTTTAGGCCTAGGATTAAGGTCTAGATAGATCAGTAAAGACGAGAGAAGTTCTCGTGGTCTCTATTTGTCCGTTATTAAGTGGAATAGCGCGACAAGTAGCCAACGCTCCTCGTACATCTATTATAACGTATTCAAAAAACACACTTCAATGTGAGAGTTTCGCTATACGATATCATCGTCAGGCATTACAATACTGTTTGTACAAATTCTGTGTCGTGCTTTTATAGTAATTTGAATCATTAAGAACATTACTACAGCTTGTCAAAGGTAGGAAGAGCTTTCAGAATGCCTTTATGGTCCGCCCACTAGATGTGCGTTCTTTAGAAGACTATGAGAGTCAGAGTCCCAAGTCTCTTCCTAGATTTGACGAGCTGTATGTGTCAAATTTCTACATGATGAATTTGATGAATTCATTACCTAAACCCTTGACTATACACCTATATTCGAACGAATCATAAGACTGTAAAATAATGAATAACAATTTCTACTTCAATAAAGAGGAACAATTCCAATCTATCTTATCATCGCGCAATAATCCAGAATTTTGACATGTAATGATTTCTAAACATTTCAAATGGTTGACTTTTTACAATGGCAATACGTCAACATCGTGATTGAAGGAAGGGGGAGCCACAGTTGAAATATTCAAAATTCCTTTCATAGTGTGCATCTAAGACTTAAGAAGCACATTTACACCAATTTTCAGCTTCTTAGGACTTACCAGCACGGACAAACATAAATGAATTGAAAAAGGTTGGTTGGGAAACAGGATCAATTTTTTTTTAAAAACAATTGATTTTTTTTTGAATTGTTTGTTTATAAATTGTCATCTATCTGCTATGCATTTATGATGACATCAACATATTTGGATGATGGAGCAAAGTGAACCATTTATTTTGCCAACTTCCACTCAGTGATGCGTTTTGGCATCATTTNTCTGCCTTCTATCTGACTATAAGCATTATCGTTTGTACTTTCTATCTTACTGGCAGTGGTAAAAATAATTTTGTTGAGTAATTTTTCTGGAAAGGAATTATCTATTATAGAATATTTTTCAATAAAAGTAATTTTTTTTCTTTTAGTGAGGGGTGAACTAGTTTTTGAATTCTGTTTTTTAGACAGAGAATTAGATTTATTTTCATCGATTTTTTATGAAAATAATAATGGATGGAAGAGCAAGGTCTGCTCATGTTGCGATTTCTCTGCGAATTATTTTTGTATCTAAGAGAGGAATGGTATTATTCTCTTCCAGTTCTATAGTGAATTGTGCTTAATGTAATGTAATCGCAATAAATTTGCATTGCATAAGATACCATATAGTCTAAACACACGAAACCGTAATACCGACTATAATATCACAATCCACAGACTTTCATCAACGGAAAAGACTCCTGAGTATGTATATATCAGGTACTTCAATGAAATGCCAACAACAGTTGAACAAGAATATAACATGAACGTATTCAATAGGCTAATAAAATCAATATTATAGTGGATCTAGAACCCTACTCTATC